TGGCAGAGAGCAGCAGATGCCCAGATTCAAGGCCACGTGCCACTCAAGTGCTGGGCTAGAGAAAGGACTCTGTTTCCCTGCTTGTTGTGGCCAGGCTGAGTGGGCTGAGTGCAGAGGCCTGTCATAGTACTTGCATGACTGTCGTGCACTGGCCAGGCTGGACACAGCATGCGTTCACACTGCTCCCTTTGTGATTTGCCTCCCTTTGTTCTGTTTCCCTTCATTAATTACGATCTTTTCATGCTAGTTAGAATGTCCCCATTAAAGGTAAGAGTCACTCAGACATTTATATTATAGACAGAAAAATAGACTTTCTGGCAGAGACTGGAATCTGATGGGAGTGTCATAGATTTTAATCCAATTGATGGAAGAAATTTGACTAAAACTTTAACTTGAAGATTTTAGTAGCTGCAGGGGACTCTGTGTTCATAGTTGCCATCCTATTACTGAATTGAGCCCCAGGTTTACTGTGATACAAATAACATGGTGGTGGACATCTGTGTGTAGTCAGTCAAGGGCTACGACATGACCTTGTATGAAGAATCTTTTTTTGAAAGTCTCGGTGTGCACCCGATTGGCCTGGACCTCACTGTAGACAAGGCCTCTGGCTTGTGGTGATCCTAGAGCTTCAAGTGTAGGCATTTATTAACATGTGTGTGAGCCACTGAGCATTCCTGCCCCTACTGAGCACTAGGTTAGGTGCAGGCCTTGTGCCTTCTGCTTGAGTAATCTCAGTGTAATTTGATAGGCAAAAAGCGCATCTTATTCTGAGTCATTTCTGAGAATTGGACTTCTCCTTAGCCCATCAGCAGCTTTCATGTGGCTGTCTGGGAGTTTTTCAAAAGCAAGTGAGAGACTGACAGAGAAGCAGTGTCTTTCTCCGAGCTGATTCATCACCAGGCCATTTGTGAAGGGTTGCTGGCAAGATGACAGGGCGAAACGCTAGCTTTCTGTCACTATAACACGTAACTTGAGGCAGTAACTATTTATAGAGAAAAAAGATCCCAATATGGTGGCACTTGGGAAGTATAGGCAGGAGAACAGCTGCAAGTTCTGGGCCAGTATAGCCTGCATAGCCAGTTTGAGACCACCAGGGCCGTATACTGTGATCATCTCAAAAGGAAAAAGTTTGTGGGGGGTCTGTGTGGGGGCCCAGTCTCTTAGAACTCACTGAGGATACCACCATGGATGTACATAGCTGAGCAAAACCATTCACGTATGTCATAGCCAGGAAGCAAAACAAGAGGAGATTTGGATTCCATACCAGGTGTACCTTTAAAACCAACAGACCTCTCAGTCATGCAAGCTAAGAACCAAGCCTTTGTTGTGTGAGCACTTATAAAAGTTGTGGGCAGGACTTGGAGGTCACACAGGACATCTGAGAGTCTTCAGGGAGACCACTGTGGTGCTATCATCCAGCAGGGTCCCCATCTCAGGCCTGGGGTAGGGACCTGGGCCTGGGTAATGTTCTGAAATAAGTATACATGTGCCTGGACTCTGAGACTGAGCTTGGGGTCAATAGGAAAGCACTGGGCACAGATCTGAGCAGGTAGAGATGCCACGAGCCACCAGAGTGTGAGAGAGCAGGCTCGTGGTCGCCTCCAGGGACCCCTGCCCTTCCCCGCGAGGTTTGTCCCACTGCCTTTGAGCTTCAGCAGGGTCTCCTATAGTCTAGGTTGACATTAACTATTATGTAGTAAAAGATGGGTGACACTGGCTTCTGAGGAAAGCACTCCCTGGCACCCCTAGATTGTCAGAGCTTCTGGATTGGCCATGCTAGTGCCTGTAGACCAGGCTGGGCTCGGACTCAGATTGCCCATCTCTGCCTCCCCGGTGGTGTGGTTAAAGGACTGCACCGCCACTGCCGCCCTGCAGACACGTGTTTTTCAAACTTTATCATTTCCATTACATGAACTAGTCCTAAACTTAAGCAGAGACATCAGTCCATCTCCAATGGTAGATGTCATCATCCCACTGGACTTAGGCACCCTGAATTAAATAGTTCACATGAAGTTAATCAAGTTTGGAACTCTTTATTTTGTAGTGTTTTTATATTATCCTATGAGTCATCTTTTGGCAAGCAGTTCTCCATCCCAGTGTTTGATCTGAACGATTATAGCCCAAACTGGTGAAATTCAGAAATGCAGAATCAACAGCCATGCTCGCGTGTGGCTGGCTGTTTAAAGCAGCAGAAAGCAGAACAAAGAGCAGAAAGTAAGAAGAACTTGTCAGGGGCTGGTGTCAGTCCCGAGGCCACTGCCTTTCTGGAACATGAGTTTCTTCCCGCCCTCTTCACCTCTGCTAATGAGTGCTGACATTCAGAAACGAGGGGAAAGGCAGCTTCTGTTTGCTTTACTGCAAATAAGTGAGCCTGCTTTTGGCCGCCTCCCCAGTGGCCCTGACATACCTCAGAGTGGCCAGTGAGGTATGTGCACGGTGCCAGCCTGCCGGCCTCATCCACGCCTGCTGCACCCGGAACGGCCAGGAGGCTCCCATTGCCCTTCCGTTGCCTTTGCCCTTCCTCTGGGTACCACCTGGTTTCTTTGGGAGGTGATGCTGCGTCTACCCTCTGAAGACATGAACAAGGGGTTCTGCTTCCTCTGCTCACCCTCTGGTGTAATAGCTTGCAGAGGATGTTACCTTGTGAGCATTCAAGACCATCTGGGAAATGCATCTTGAAAAATGTAACCCAGTGCGGCAAAGGGCCAGGCCATGTGGCACCTTTTGTGCCACGTTCCTTCACGGTTCTGCCACTTTTGGATTCCAGAAGTGGGCCTGCGCTGACACTTCCTTTCCGCTCCCCCTTAGCGGTTAAGCGAGTTTTTTCTCTTCCTCTGAAAGTGATAGTTCTCACCACCCTCTCAGGTCAGTCTTGTGAAGATACTCATACATGTAGCATGTTCAACATGGCTCCTTACACATAGCAAGGTCTGTCACTGTTTAGACTTTTTTCCCCAGAGCTGTAGTTTGTAACATTCATGGTGAAGACTGGAAAGCCCTGGACACTTGGGAAAGTTGGCATTCCCAGTGACAGAGGCAGGACAGAACTGCAGTTGGCCAGCAATGTAGGGCTGTTCCTCCTCTCTCCGGGAGCCTGCAGGCTGCTGCTTCTTGCTGCCATGAGCCGCTGGATCTCTTCTTGGTATCTGGCATCACATCCATCCTCAGTGCCAGCAGCACCCACTACCCACTCTGGGTGTAGGTGCCTTGTCTTCCCAAGGCTCACTGGCCTTGTGCAAGGGCCACCCAGAGAAGTTGCTGTGACTAGACTGCTGTCTGGTTTCATGGGATGTTGGGGAAGAGGCTTTCTGCACAACAGAGTACAGCTGCCACTAACCAGTCCCCAGATGCCAACTCAGGTGCCTTCACTGCACATCTGGTGCGCCGATGGAAGCCGAGCTCATGTGTGGCAGTGCGTAGGGCTGGCCTCTAGCTTGTCAAGTGCTCAGACAGCACTGAGGGATCCAGTGATGCCCTTAGAGAGGCTGACATTCCAGACCACAAACAGTACCCTGAGCAAGTAATGAGTCTAACAAGAGTTGCCAGAGAGCCAGGTGGCGGCGATGATGGTGGTGGTGGTGCACCGCATGCCTTTAATTCAAGGACTCAGAGGGCAGAGGCAGGCTGATCTCTGTGAGTTCAAGGACAGCCTGGTCTACAGAGCGAGTTCTAGGACAGCCAGGGCTGTTACACAGAGAAACCCTGTCTCAAAAGAAACATTCTCCCCCCCCCACCCCCCGCCCCAATTGCCAGAGAAATGGAGACACATTTTCTTAAGCAAAGACACCCCAGAAACCCTAGTCTTTTGCCTGGGCTCTGTGGCTTGTGATTTTCTTAGAAAACTTGGAGCACATTTCCAAGCTATGCTCAGACTGCAGTGGAGGCCCATTGGCTTCATGAATTTTCTGTCGTGAATGTTGCCCCAGCCATAAGCTTTGCCCATGCAGAAAGGAAGCCCACACTGGTGTACTTTGACACGCAGTTTGGCCTGGCACCAAGTAAGCACCTCTGAGGCTGTCAGGTAGAGAGTTGGTGCAGCTTGGAAACTGGGGTCATTCTTGGGTACTCATTTGCCAAGCTGTTTGTCAGTCTCAAAATAATAGGCTGTGCAGAGGTGGCTCAGGGGTTAAGAGTATTTGCTGTTCTTCCAGAAGATCATCACAGTTAGGTTCCCAGCACCCAGTTCAGGTGTCTCAGCCATCTGTAACTTCAGGGGAATCTGACACCTCTGGCTTTCCCAGGAACTTTCACTCGTGAGTACATAACTACATGCAGATACGTACACCTATACATAATTAAAATCTTTAAAATAAAAAAAAAAAAACAGGAATAGTTCTTCAGTTGGGACAAGTTCCAAATGCTTGTTTTATTAAGAGCCTGGAGCAACTGGCAACTGGCTCAGCTCTCCCTTAATCTTAGGGAAGAGCCTCTGCTCTGCGGGGCTAATTCATCGAATATGTCCTCTGCCTCCCTTGGTGTGCAGACGCTAAACTTAATGAGCGGGCTTAGCAATCAGTAAAGTGGAGCCCGGGTAAGTGCTTCAGAGAGCACCCAGGGCTGAGACTAAGAAGCCAATTCATGTGTCTGTACCTCCACTCTGAGATACCCATGTGGTGTGGACCAGACTAAGACTTCAGGTGGTCCCTCCTGCATTTGGACTCCGCTCTCGCCTTGTTGGGGGTCTCCTTACATAAGCCTGGTGCTAAGATGTGGCAGGAGCTTCCCCTACTCCCTTAGTTCCTGGAGGTTAAGGGAGGTGTGTTTGTAGTGGCCTGCCTTTCTTGTGAGTGAGTATTTGGCTCTCCTTGCTGGCTGAAGCAGCCCTTTGAACCGATGCCTAGAATGCGGGCCTCCCACCCAGGCCTCTCATCCAGGTCCTAACAGGGCCTTCTGCTGGCCTTTTCTGCCCACAGACATTTCAGGTTTTCCTTGTATTTGAAATGAGATCAGAGCATTCATTAAGGAGATTGGCTCTCTGACCTCTTCTTCCTCTTTCCCAGTGCTGCTGAAATTCCGCACAGATAAAGGGAGAGATCCCAGTTCTGATAGCTACGGTGAGGACGCAGAGCTGCTGCTGCAGATAAGAAATGATGTGCTCGACTCACTGGGCGTCGGTCCTGACCTGCTTCCCGATGACTTTGTCAGGTTGGTATCTGAACAGACAGACAGCTGGTTTCGCTGTTTGTCTTAGGGGACTCCTGTGCCACATTTGCCAGCTGTATAAACCTCCTCCTGCCTGTGCCATAACCAGCACTGTGAGGGAAACGAAGGCTTGTAGGTTTGGCTTTCGTGTGGTTTGACATGTAAGGCGCCGTGTGGCCTGTTAACATGTTCTGTCCTTTCTGACTCGCCTCCGTGCTGTGTGTGGTGTTGGTTGGTGCAGTTTCCTGTCACAGGGTGGAGGGTCCTAGCATGTGGAGCCCCACAGCTTTCTGCAGCCCCCTGCTTGCTGGTCTGTGCTCGGCCTTAGCAGTGTAATGCTAAGAAGAGTATCTTCTTGGGTCCTATGCTGTCCAGATTCAGCTACAGGATGAATGAGCCACGAGAGTTGCTGAGTCTAACGGTGTGATTGGTGACTATTTGTCATCCAGCAGTGGTAGATATCAGCAGAGACCTCAGATCCACTCCAGGCTCTGGGAAACTCTGGCCTTGGCAGTCTCCTGCTCTCACACAGTCAGGCTTGCGGTGCGGACAGGTGGCCCTGCGTTCCTTCCAGGCAGCTCTCGCAGCAGGGAAGTTGCTCAGTGAGCTCGTGATCTGCCTTCGTCCTCAAAGTGATGCAGTTTGTAGGTGAGGGGTGGAAGCTCAGAGAATGGCAGTGACTAGTCCCCGGTGCAGAGGCTTTCTGCTCAGCTCTGTCACTGAGGTCTCTTGATTGTACACTATTTCCCCACTATGTAAGTGGAGATCTGTAGAGATACAGTCACATGCCTCACCGCTTGAGATGTGGCTTTGTGAGTGCTTAGATGACAGGTGTATGCCAACTGTGGCTGTGCCCAAGGTTTTGTCGTAACGGTTTGACCACCCCATATCTCACCATAGTAGCCCGTGCTGCTTTCACGCTCGCTCTCCCCAGCAGCCATTTGTCAGAGGCAGAGACCTTCTCCCTGGTGCCTACTCTCTTCCTGGGCTCCTCATGTCCACCCGGCCAGCGTCACCATTCTCCAGCACACCCACCCGGTGGACGGCGGCAAGTTTGCCGGGCCGTGAACATGCAGCCAGTTGACTAATGTGAGTGTTTTAGGGTGATGAATTAGCTGCCTGTCCTCACCAGGCAGCAGAATTAAAGGCCCTACTTCCCAAAAGGGAACTCCTGGCTGGCTCTTGCCTTCCTTGCCTGCCCCGTGGAAGCCACATGTCCGTTTGGTTCTGTGTGTTCAGCTGCTTCTCCCGTTGCCTTCTAAGTAAGGTGTTGGGAGGCTTCCTGAAGCTGTCTGCTGACCAGCTGGAGAAGAGGTAGGGCTGTGAGCGAGGAAGTGAGTCCCCCGTCCTCAGCCCAGCTGCCTCTTACAAACTGCTTAATACTGCTGCTGGGCAGGGACAGCTGTACTTGCATCTCTGTCCTTCATCTGGCCTGTGCCGTTCACCATCCTGTTTTGAGTGCTGTCTCCTCAAAGAGCCTTATTTCTTTCCTGACGAGAAAGGACCTGATTCAGCTGCGGCTGCTAACATCTTTGGTCTGCACTCACAGATAAGTTCTTTTCTACTGTTTAAACATTATGGTGGATATTCTTCGGTAGTCTCTTGGCAGTATACCATACAACCTGTTTATGGTACTAAACCGGTCTGTGTTACTTGCCCATCAAGGTTTTGCACTACCTGGATATGTAGTTATTAACCTAATCTTCACTTACTTTATTAGGATGTGTTTGTACTGTCAGGACTTCATAAACAAACGTCCATAACTTTATGTGTAAATAATGTATATTGTTTTTAAAAGTTAGCACTGCAGGGGCAGAAGCAGAAGGATCAGGAGTTGAGAGTCGTCTTCCACCATGTGGTACATTTGAAGTTAGCCTGAGTTATGTGAGATCCTTCTCAAAACAAATTTACAATAAAGCATGCACGACAAGATTAGCCATCTTAGGGGTCTAGGACAGTAAACTCATGGGTCCAGAATTTGCCGTCAGTCCCATCAACCTGACTTCATTCTCTGTGGCTACACAGTAAAAGAAGAAACCCAGACTTGTGCAGGTTGTCCTCCCTGCTCTGCTCTGGCATGGCATGGCATGCCCACATTATTAATGATGCAAATGAGTAACTCAAATTAGAATTTTTTTCTAATTTCTTTCAGTTATGTTATTATGTGATGATGGAATAGTGTGTAGCATATGGTATGTGTGGGTCAGAGGATACCTGTGGAGTGTGTTCTCTTTCCACCTTTACGTGGGTTCCAGGTTTGTGTGTGCCTTCACACACGAGTTTCTCACACACTTCATGTGTGTGGATGTCCACACCATGTGCATGCAGGCCCAGAACAGGGTTCCAGATGCCCTGGGACTTGGCATAACAGGTGGATATGAGCCATTGTATTGTGCTGGGAACGGAACCCAGGTCCTCTACAAGAGCAGCGAGTGCTCTCCAACCCCATTTTAACAGTTCTGGGGTGTGCCGTTCCTACTGTTACAGCTGTCATCATCGACTCCCCATTCTGTTCTTCTAGCTCCTGGAGCCTCCGGTGCACTCTATCTATAACCTCTCTTGTGAGTACAAGTGTGTAGTATTTGTCCTTGGCATCGGACATCGCAGCACATAGCTGTCATCTCATGGAGAACATTGCCTTGCGTTCAAGGTTAACCACGACTCTAGAGAGACCATTTCAGCCTCTTGCCTGCCCATATTATCCTTTGTGGATTTCCTGGGATTTGTGGGTTTGTTTTTGGTTTGTTTTTCTTTTTGGTGCTGGAGACTGACTTAAAGAGCTCAAATACACTAAGCACATACTATAAACACCACTGAGCTCCAGCTATAGCCACAACTGACAGGTTTGCGCGTGCGAATGTTTCCATATGGATGTGGAAACCAGAGGTTAAATTGGGGTGTCTCCCTCAGTCACTGTCCACGTTATGTTTCTAAGACAGGGTCTCTCACTGAAGCTGGAGCTTGCAGATTGGGTTAAACTAGCTGGCTGGAAAACTGTGTCATCTTGTCTCCAGCATGCCCAGCTTTCACATGGGTACTGGGATTACACTCATGTCTTCATGTTTGTATGCTGTCTATGTAGACCTGACCCTTAGACATCCACCTGCCTCTGCTCCCCAGTGCTGGAGCTAAAGACAGGCACCACCACAGTCAGCCTGAAGCAGTACTTTTTAAAGAGTTAAAAAGCCAAGTCCTGTGGAATGCTAACACGAACAATGTAGGAGTGTGAGTGGTTTTTAACAAGCTGGTGGTGGTAGCACATCCCGTAATGTCAGCTGCTCAGGAGGCAAAGGCAGGAAGATCACAAGTTCAAGGCCAGTTTGGACAACTTAGTAAACCCTTGTCTCAAAAAGTAAAAAGAGCCGGGCGGTGGTGGTGCACACCTTTGATCCCAGCACTCGGTGGCAGAGACAGGCAGCTCTCTGAGTTTGAGGCCAGCCAGAGCTACACAGAAAATTCCTGTCTTGTGGGATAAAAACAAAGAAGTAAAAAGAGGCGTGTCTCAGTGGGAGAGCACCTGTTGGCATGCACCAGAACCTGGTTTAGTCCCCAGCACCTTAAAAACAAAGAAGGCTGTGAGTGTAGTCATGCCCGCTTTGAATCTCTAGTGCTCCTGAGGCTGAAGTGGGAGGACTCTGAGGGTTGGGACCAGCCTGAGCTGAGCTACCGCCTTGTTTCTTGTTTCCTTTTGTGATTGAAAGAAAGAAAGGAAGGAAGGAAGAAAGAAAGAAAGAAAGAAAGTAAGAAAGAAAGAAAGAAAGAAAGAAAGCACATTGTTACCACACCTGGTCCTTGGTTACTTTGTAATCTTCTATGTGCCATATGGGTGGGGCTCTTTAATGTGCAGCAGACCCTTCTGGAAGAAAATGTAGCAGTATGCACATCACAGCTCAGTTCCAGAGATGGACGGTCCATGCATGATTCCTTGTGGGCAGTCAAACAGTTACCGTTGACTTACAGACCACAACGTGGATGTTGGTAGTTGAGTTTACATTTTATGTGTGTGTGGTCTAGAAAGACGAGTACCAGCAGGAAAGGGTCAGGGTGGCCTGCTGCCCCAGGGTCAGGGTGGCCTGCTGCCCCAGTTTTTTCTTCCAGCTGATCCCGTGTTGTGGGCTGGGAACTAGCTGGGCAGCTTCCTTTGGGAGCCTATGGCTAAATGTGTTCTGGGCCCCAAGATGGTGATTTGGAGGGTCAGCTGACAGGCTCTGCTGAGATTTGCCCTGAGTGCCCAAACCAGGCCTAGAAGGAAGGAGCTGCTTCGTAGCAGGGTCATGCAGACTTTGTGCTACACCTGTGTTTCTCATCGTGCTGCATGTTAGCGCAGCCTGCTTGCTGTGGTTCTGGAATAGCATGTAGACACCCTGCCTGTGTGCTGAGAGAATTGCGAGAATGCGCTGGGGCACTCAACATCTGGTATTTGTAGGGCCTTATTTTTAGGAAGCACAGATATAGTATCCATGAACTTTAAAAAAAAAAAAAATCATGTGAAGGAATTCTTGCTTTCAAAGGTTAAAGGTCTTTCCCACCCATTAGGAGCCCCTGGGGTCAGATTTAATTTTCACGCCTGGACACCAGTTCTAGCACTGCACTCTCCCTGGCTAGGGCTTTTATTCAGGACAGCCCCAGCTAACTTTCCCATGTCCCCCACCCCTCCCCCCACGCCCTGGTACTATGTTTTACTTTTCTGTCTTGTAGGTACTGCTTCTCTGAGATGGCTCCAGTGTGTGCTGTGGTTGGAGGGATCTTGGCACAGGAAATTGTGAAGGTAAAATCGACATAGAACCCACTGCCAGCACCCTGGTTACACACTGAGTGAGCCAAGGGCTAGCCCAGACCTTCCCAATCTCCCGCACTCAGCCATGATGCATGCCCTGGATTCCTGCCAGTCCCATCGAGGGCCAGCCAGCTAGTGGCCTCGATGCCTCCTGTGGTTACCACTTTCTCTGCTCTTTCAGCTGTGGGTAGATGGAGATCCCAGGCTAAGAGGATGTCATAGGAGACTCCCGACACCTGAAGTGGATTTATTTCCTTCGGAGACTTGGATGTTTGTCTCCAACTTTATTAAATTTGCTTTATGCAGGGCTGGGGTGTAGCTCCGTGGTGAAGTATGTGCTTAGCTCAAGCTCAAAGGCCTTGCTTGGGTTAGTTCCTAGAAGCTTTGTGGGATTTTTCCAGGCAGGGTCTCGGTCTGTAACCCAGGCTGACCTTGAACTCAAGCCCTTGTACCTCCACCTCCTGAGTGCGGGAATTGCAGGCATGAACCCCGTGGCAGCTCTGTCCCTGTCTGCTGTGGACAGAGGTTCCCACAGCTCTGGAGCCAAGCTCAGACCAAAGAGGATGCTCATCCCTCTGACTGGCCACTGACTAAACCCTGTACTAAACTCCTCACGTGCAGGAGAGCCCAGCATCTCTTCAGACGCTATCCTGCAGATGGCGCCCTAACAACACCCGTGCAGAGAGCAGCATGGCACTCACTGTTTGTCCTGCGGGGTGGAGAAGGGAGTTTGGGGCAGGTGGCCTGGGACCATTGTTGGGGATGGCTTCTGTGCACCGCTGTCTCCCGCTGCCCCCTCCTTCCTGCCTGCTGGCGCAGCTGTTGCTCAGCATCTTGTTTCTGTTTACCACAGACAGTCAGCACACTCCACATTCTTGGTTGCTGGGTGTGTTTGGAATCTTGTCCCCCATGTTGCTCGGGACACACTTTACCTTTTGCCCCATGTTCACCCTGTGCCCTGTCCCTTCATCCCCTCCCTCCCTCTGCTTACAACCCTGCGGCCAGCTGGCAGGAGGGCCTGCATCTGAGCACCTATAAAAAGTACATGGGAGGAGTCAGGGGCGAGTGGGAAGGTCCTACAGATGAGCATTCCCTCCGTCCCTTCACCCACCCACGACTTTCTGTGCACAGTGGCAGAGGCCATAGTGAAAGCAGCAGCCACAGCAAACCGTGTGTTAGGATGAGTCGTCAGCACCTGCAGGAGCCTGGAACACTGAGCACAGGAGACCGAGGCTCCCCAGACATGGGCCACTGCTACCTTGGGTTCCGTGCTCTTCCTGTGGCATCCTCAGATAGTGCTCTGTGTGTGTGTGTGTGTGTGTGTGTGTGTACATGGGGATGTCACAGGACGGCTTGCAGAGTTGATTCTCTTTGTCATGGAGGTGCCAGGAATTGAACTCAGGGTGTCAGACTCCTCTTGGCCTTTATTTTGTGATTTTTGTTTAATTTCCCCCTTCCTCCTCTAGAAGGCTGTCAGTCTGTTGTTCCGTGTGTCTCTTAACACTGCGGTTGAGCGCTCTTGTCTCTTCCCAGGCCCTGTCTCAACGGGACGCTCCTCACAACAACTTCTTCTTTTTCGATGGCATGAAGGGGAGTGGAATTGTGGAGTGCCTAGGTCCCAAGTGAGCCTGGTGCTTGGCAGCCCAGAGGTGTGTGCCTGCGTGCATGTCTGTCACCTGCCGTCCTCCCAAGAAGGCGTGTCTGGATGACAGATGTTCCTAGAGCATGTAGGCTGGACTTGATCCTCCTTCTGTCCCAGCAGCTGCGGGCAGGCGGCTGGCCAGCTCGGGAGTGTGACCATGCAATAGCACCCTGTGCTGGCTGTCGTTGGGGACTGACAGTGTCGGTAGGGCAGCAGACAGGAGCAGGTCTTCAGCAGGGTGCGTGACCCATTGGAACCCCGTGGTCATGCACTTGTGCCCGCCCTGAAGGACTGAGGGAAGCCCGCAGTTACGGAGCCCTCAGCAGACTGTAGCCTTGACTGCATTGGAGAGACCGTCACCCAGCTGTCTTACAACTTAAACCTTAGTGGAACTGTTCATATCTTTTATTTTGGTTGTGGTCCTATTAGCTTAACCTTTAATGGCGGAGCCATGTCTCAGCCCAAACTATTTTTCCCCAAGACAGTGCTTCTCTGAGTATCAGTTCTGGCTGTCCCGGAACTCACAGAGACCCCCCTGCCTTTCTCCAGAGTGCTAGGATTAAAGGCATGCACCACTGCCCGGCCCCACATTTTATGTCTAAAAGGGCAGTTTCATTGCCAGTGGCCATGATGTGGGCCTGTGATCCTAGAAGTTGAGATGCAGGGTCAGGAGAGTCACTGTGAACACCTCTCCCGGTTCATGGCCTTGGGCACCCAGGTCCTCAGGTGGGAGGGCTGAGTTGGTTTGGTCTTTTTGGGGTGGGACAACTTGTCTTCTCTAGTTCATAGATTCCCTTGGTTGTTGTGAGGAATGATAATAAAGTAATAATGCGCTGAAGCTTGCCTGTCTCTCTTTTAGAAACTTGTGGTTGGCTGGTCTTCCCTTTTCCCGAACCTAAAGAGTCTCACTCTCATGCTTCTGAAGTCCTTGCTGTCTCCATTGCCACCACCTCTGTCCATCGTCCTTTAGATAGTGCAGCAGGTGGACCGCACACACAGGGCGCGCACATGGTTATACTCTGCCTGCGTGGTGGGCGCTCTCAGCGGTAGCAGGGTGAAGACAAGCAGGTGGTTCTTGGAGTCTGGGTGCCTAACCCTGTGCTTGGTGGTGGCAGGTGGCTCATCTGGGGGCTGAGACGGAGAGAGCAGGAGTGTTGAAGGCCAGCCTGTGCTGTGCAGCGAGATCAGGGAGTAGAGGGCGGAGTCCTGTGGCTCAGTCATAAGGTGGCACACTTTCCCTCTCATCGGTGCAAGGCACACAGTTCCCGCCCCACCCCCACCCCGTGCCAGGTGCAGCGGGGCCCTGTTGTGGGGGGCGCCCTTGCTGGGCACCAGTAGTAAAGCCAGGTGCTGGACTGGGCTCAGCAGCCTTGATTTTCATGGGGTCTGAAAAGGACACATGACACCTTTCCAATTGCAGTGTAAAGCCTTGGTCACAAGGGGGAGCAGATACTCGTGAACTTAGTGAAACAAACTGTAGCTTGTGCCTCTAGATAACAGACTGAGTCACCCAAGAGGACCTCTGGGGAATCGAACCCAGGAAGTGGAAGCAGGAGGATCATGAGTTCCAGAACTACACAGAGACACCTACCTTGTCTCTAAAGAAACCAAAAGTAATTCAGCCAAAACCATCACCCATATGCACAGACTTAGCTATCTGCTCTTTTAAAAATATACTTTTTATGCATTTTACTGAGTGTGGGTGCACACATTCCACAGTGCTCATTCTAAGGCCAGACAACAAACTAAAATTTATAATGCAGCTGAGTATTACACACCGTCGATTCCAGCACTCAGGAGACAGAGAGGTAGACTTCTGTGAGTTCGAAGTCAGCCTGATCGACATAATTTCACATCAGCCAGGGTTACACAGTGAGACCCTGTATCAATAAATCAATCAATAAATAAATGTGTGCTTTTGTGGTTGTTTGGGGTTATAGTTATGTTAGGTGTGATTATGGCTTGGTTATGTTCATTTGGACATAAGGAGATTATGTGTCAAGTTGACAAGGGGTGGACTTGTCATGGCTATTCTTGGTTGTCAACTTGACTACATCTGAAATTAGCTAAAACCCAAGCAACCGGGTACACCTGTGAGGAATTTTCCTTACATCATTTGAAATGGGAAGGCCCACCGTTATCTGGGTCAATCATGGGTCCTTGAGAGTTAAAGAAATCAACTCAGATCATCAAGATTGGCAGCAAGCAGCATACCTTCCTAGTCATTTCACAAGCTCTCTCTGCTGCTTCCAAAATCTTTCAAAGAAGCTCTGTGTGTTAGCAGTACATGCCTGGTTCCAACTGCTCCTGAGGCAGGAGGGTCATGAGTTCATAGTTAGCTGAGGCTACACAGCGAGGACCCATCTCAAAGAATAAACAAAACAAAATCCTTACTGCATCAGACACACAGCCTGTCAGCCTGTTGGGCTCACTCATAAATCCAACAGCTGTCCTCAGGGCTAAACTCAGGATTTTGAAGAGAAACATGAGATGCTTTTTGGATGTGTTGGCTATACCCACTCCCCCACCACCCCCAGGTCACCCTCATAACTATTAGAGGGAGCCTTCCAGACGGCCCAGTTCCACTCAGACTCTATCATGCAGCTGTATGACCGTGGGCGAATGAGTTGTTGTGCCTCAAGTCACTCAATTCGTGTGGATGGGCTTAAGAATAATGTTAGTTTTGGGGCTGGAGAGATGGCTCGAAAGTTAAAACCACCAGCTCTTGCAGAGGACTTGAGTTTGATTTCCAGCACCCATGTGGTGGCTCACAACCATCTGTAACTCCAGTTCCAGAGGATCTGAGCCCTGCCTCATGCTCAGGTACCAGGCATGCATGTGATATACGGACAGGCATGTAGACAAAACATGTTTAAAAAATACACATTTTAAATAAAATTGCGGTGGTGGAGAATACCTTTAGTTCCAGGTACTCTCTGTAGCTCAGGCTGGCCTCTGCCTCCCAAGTGCTGGGATTAAAAGTGTGTGCCACCACCTCTGCCCAGCCAGCAACAAGTGCCAGCCCAGTGATATTTTTTAAGGAGGAAATAAGTATGTCAAGACTGAAAAGTCCGTCTTCCCTGAAGCAGCCACAACAGCGTCAGACACTTGCAAAACAGAAGCACTCAGATTGTCTTGCCCTGTCATCTGGTTGGCCTTCAAGGTATGGGACCAATTACTTCCTCATCACTGGGGTAGAGGCCGTGTGGGCTGCAGCTGCTTCCTTCTCCGGTTCATTTTTCTAGGGGCCCGTTGGGTTGGCACAGTGGAGCTTCTGGCTGTGAGTGTCTGGACTCTGGATCAGAGCACAGGCTGAACTTGTAGAGGACCTGGGTTCAGTTCCCAGCATCCATACAGTGGCTCACAAACAGCTGTAACTCCAAGGCATCCAATGCCCTCTTATATGCTCTACAGGCCCCAAGCATACATATGGTCCACACACATATATGCAGTCACTCACATACACATCAAATAAAAATAAATCTTTAATAAAGGAAAAAGGCAGAGGTGGACAGATCACCACTACATAACATGTTGAAGGTCAGCCTGGAATGCACGAGAACCTTTTTATTTATTATGTTCTGCCTCCATGTCTGCTTGCATAACAGAAGAGGGCACCAGATCTCATTATAGATGGTTGTGTGCCACCGTGTAGTTGCTTGGAATTGAACTCATGACCTCTGGAAGAGCAGCTAGTGCTCTGAACCTCTGAGCCATTTCTCCAGCCTGAAACTCTTAGAAACTAAAGTAAAAAGGACAGATAGATAACTGGTATCAGCAACACATGGTATAAAAGAAACAAATTAATATTCTAGGGCTGAATATTGGAGGTGAGAATCATTGAGTTGAAAACAATAATAAACTTTGCAGCCCAAAAAAGTATGAAAAGGGTCAGCAAGATGGTTCAGCCAGTAAAAGGAGCTTGCAGCCAAACTTAAAGACCTGAATTTGGTACCCAGGACCACATGGTTGGTCTCTCTCTCTCTGTTTGTCTCTCTCTCTCTCTCTCTCTCTCTCACACACACACACACACACACACACACACACACACGAAAAAGAACTTCCCAGTAGTGGTGGTGGCACATGCCTTTAACTTGGGAGGCAGAGGCAGGCAGATCTCTGTGAGTTCAATCCCAGTCTGATCTACAGAGCAAATTCCAGGACATCCAGGGCTATATAGAGAAACCCTGTCTTCAAGCCTGAGGTTGATAGCATACACCTTTAGTCCCAGTACTTGGGAGGCAGAGGCAGGAAGATCTCTGTGAGTTTGAGACCAGCCTGGTCTATAGAGCAGGCTCCAGAACAACCAGGGCTACACAGAGAAACCCTGTCTCAAAGAGGAAGAGAAAAAAGTTTTAAAGGCACAATAGTCCAGTGACGTCAGAGGACAACTTAGGGGCATTGGTTGTTTGAGTCCACTATATGGATTTGGGGGCTGAACTCAGCTCCTCAAACCTGGTGGCAAGTTTCTTTATCTGCCCAGCCATGTAGCTGGCCCTGAACTTACCATGTAACATTTTCAGACTGGTTGAACTTACCTGGAATGATGGAGGTAATTGTTCATCTCTTGTGTGTGTCTACCACACTTGGACTCTTTAGCACATACTCCTGTCGGAGGGACGGAACCAGCAGCCTGACTCCGGGACTTTATGCATTGCCCATCGGCAAAGCTGATACAGGCAAGGGCTCAAGAACAGTGCTGGGTCACTTCTCAGGAAGTCAGTGGGGAAAACTCTCCTGCCTCATAATAATGCAAAGCGGGCTCTCAGGGCCAGGCCGGCAGTGTGCTTCGCTTTAGGGCAGTGGTGCCAGCTAAGAACACTTTGATCGTAGCTCAAGGTGCCACAGAGGAAGCCTGAGGCTTATCACAGGGCCAGGCTTGATGCCATGTCATCTAGGACAGACATCCATTCATGCAGTAACTCTCAAGACCAACTACTTGGTTCACCTGGTGGAATAAATAAGGATAAAACTTGAGACCCTCGGCCCTCTTTTTTTGGGGGGGCTGGGGGTGGGCAAAGTTTGTCTTTGTATCCTCAGCTGTCTTGGAAATCACTTTGTAAACCAGGCTGACCTCAAACTCAAAGATCTGACTGCCTCTGCCTTCCAGGTGTGCACCACCACCATCCATCCAGGGGACTTTACCCTTTTGAGGCTACAGCAGTGGGTGCCAGCTCTGCAGCTACAACTTTCCTGCCTCTCTCAATCTGCCTTCCTTTTTTCTCTTGGTATGAACAGTTGAAATCATGGGTTTGTGCAACCCCCAGCCCCTCACTGGGGGATTCTAGGCAGGGGCTCTACCCCTGAGCCACACCCCAGCCCCTCACTGGAGGATTCTAGGCAGAGGCTCTACCATGAGCCACCCCCCCCCAGCCTTCCTACTACTTAAATTACTTATTTTATGTGTATGGGTGTTTTGTCTACATGTAATGTGCACCATGTGTGTGCCTGGTACCCACAAAGGCCAGGTGTCAGATCTCCTGGGACGTGAGTTACAGAGTGTGAGCTGCCCTGTGGAGCTGGGAACCAAACCCAGGTCCTCTTGAAGAGCAGCCAGTGCTCTTAGCTGCTGAGCCGTCTCTCCAGCTCCTCCTTTTTTTTTTTTTTTTTTCCTAGACAGGGTTTCTCTGTAGGTTTGGAGGCTGTTGCTCTGTAGACATGGCTGGGGGCTACAGAGATCCACCTGCCTCTGCCTCCCAAGTACTGGGATTAAACACGTGCCACCACTGCCCGGTTCCTATTATTTTTTTAGGACTTGGTTTTTCTTAGTTGTTCAAGCCTTCTAAGTAGATGCCAGCTTGCCTTTCAGGAGGACTACCCCTGAAGAGCCCAAGAATC